ATTTAATCTGTTAACCTACAAATAATCATCATAATTCTAGGTTTAACATTAACATTAAAAATATGTATAGATTATCTTGTAAGGATGGAGAAAGAGACTCTTTCTCCTTCTAATTCTCATCGGGCTCAACCTATCTATTGTCTATCATCTTCTTCGGTTTTTTTCTCTCTCTCTTTTCTACTGAACAACCGATTATAACTTCTTACTTAAATCAAAAGAAAGAAACCGTCAAAAACTGCTATAAACCTATTTTTTTCCCATCAACAAACTCATTTAATAAGTTTGTAAAAGAAATTATTGGGGCATTCCATCATTTTCTTTTATTTTTGGCTTTAATATCCAAACCAAAATGGAAAAGGTTGCTGCATCTGTCAAAGTCCCAGTATTAGGTAAACGAGAGATTTGCTCTTTCAAGTGGACCATAAAAGTTCATAGCAGCATGAATATATTAAGTTGTAGGCGTAGCTACTTGCCATCCATTATTTGATTATGTATCACTCTTTAGATTTTTTTTATATATTAAACCTTTCGGCTTTATCCGTCTGGCCCTACCTTATCTGCCTCATTATTTATTTATTAATCAATCTTTTCTTGGATTAAAAACTGCAATTTTTTTATTTATGTTCATAAAAGACAGTACAAGCAACCTAATTATACATTATTTAATCTATTTATTAGAATGGTAAGGGAATCCATTTTAATCGTATCGTAATCTTTATGATTTGTGCAATTATAGTAATCGGTAGGCCTATATTTATAATTTGAGATAAAAGAAAATTGAAAAAATATATAATTTTCTACTGTATTTTATATTGATTATACACCTTGTAAATATTAGATTTCGCACTAACAATATGAGTGTAAGAGTAAATATTATGTAAAAAATTATTATAAAAGTATTCTATCAATAATAATATTGGTGGAGTGACAGAAAATTTATTCTTAATTTTTCTTAAACATGAATCAACATTTAAAATTTGTTTTTTAATTATTTATTTAAAACTACATAAATGTATAAAAATTATTGTTATAATAATATTAGTCGTAATTTAAAATAAATATTTTTTAATTTTTAATTAAGTTGATGCTCAGTCATATATTATATGGAAGTATATAAATGAATAAAATATTATTATAAAATAAATTTTCCATCCATTTGTTTGATGTGAAGAATAAACTCCTTATATCTCTACTTATAAAATATTGATTGAATTAATATCATTGGTTAATTATGTCTCAATCCAGTTAAAAAATAAATAAAATATTATCATTTTCAATAATAATAATATTATTATTATGGGTATATTTTGCCCTTCTTATATAGATTTTTAAGGTCACTTATAGAAAATTATTGTGGAATTGGATTAGAGTGTAATGAGGTATAATTATATTGGTGTGATGTATTTAGACAATCATCATAGTTTTTGAGCGACATTGAATTTAAGTAATTGGAGGTCCTCAATTACACTCTTTAATAAGAGAAAGATAAGAATTGATATAATTATATAAATAATTACATTCATTAATTTTATAATTAATATTATTTTAGAATTTAAATTTATATAAATATATAATCATGATTTATACTACCAAACATTATACAAAGAATTGTAATATAATCCTATCCCTTAAATAAACCCTAAAATCTACCTTTAACAATTGACCACAAAATCTATTCTAAAATCTTTAGAAGACTCATATTCGAACATGTACATTTGTAGAATGTATGCATTATTATATGAGTAAGAAATTTATGAATAAATATTAATTTATAACTTCCTTATACTATTCATGTGTATATATATATTACACTGCAACTCAGGGGCGGATGTACATGGCTCCATAGGGGAGCCATTGCACACTTATTATTTTGAGAAAAATGTTAAATTTAGTTTAGTTTACTAATGGGAATAAGAAAAAATTATAAAATTTGAACACCCAATTTTTTTTAGAATGATGCATTAAAATTTCGAACCCCCATTTTTTAATTTCTAGATCCGCCACTGCTGCAACTTCCCCCATTAACCAACTTATCAACTTACCAGAATAGTGGGGCGTTCAATCTCCCTATTTATACCAATGGTATCGCCACACTCTTCCACACACAATTCTAGTTTCAAAAACTTCAGTTTTTGGTCCCAATCTGCATTTAAGCCACATTGTCCCTTTTCGTTTCACTACTATCTATGCCTTCTCTTTTCTGTCTTCCTTCCATGGCCCCAATCTTCTGTTTTTTTCTTGGTTTGTTTCTCATTGTTTCCTCAAGCAATGCTCAGGGTCCACCTTCCCCTGGATTCTCCCCTAGCTCCAGGGTGAGCACTGTGACCTTTGATCAAGGGTTCCGAAATCTTTGGGGTCCTCAGCACCAGAAACTAGGCCAGGGTTCATTAACAATCTGGCTCGATAAAAGCTCAGGTTCTTCCCATTTTATTTCTATTCTCATGTTTTGAGGTCCAATTACGTGCTTAATTTGTGCTTTCATGGCGAAAACAGGGAGTGGTTTCAAGTCACTTCGTTCGTACCAGTCTGGTTACTTTGGTACTGCAATGAAGCTCCACCCTGGTTATACTGCAGGCGTTATTACTTCTTTCTATGTACGAACAATATTAAATGATATATATATATATGAAACCATTGATGTATCCTACGTAAACACATAATCTAGATGTTGTGCAATTTAACAGCTTTCCAACAACGAGGAACATCCCGGAAACCATGACGAAATTGATATCGAGTTTCTCGGGACTACTCCAGATAAACCCTATACTCTGCAAACTAATGTGTACATTAGGGGCAGTGGGGACCGAAACATAATTGGAAGGGAAATGAAGTTTCATATGTGGTTTGATCCTACGAAAGATTACCATAACTATGCTATATTGTGGAACCCTAGTGAAATCATGCAAGTATCCTTCTTTTTTTCTTCTTTTTCTTCTTCTTTTTCCATATTTTTTATGTTAGCTTTTATGATTCGTACAACAGATTTTTCGTAGATGATGTGCCAATCAGGAGCTACTCAAAGAAGAGTGACGCCACGTTTCCCACGAGACCAATGTGGGTATACGGATCAATATGGGATGCATCATCATGGGCTACCGAGAATGGAAGGTACAAGGCTGATTATAACTTCCAACCATTCGTCGGTAGGTATACGAAGTTCCGAGTAACCGGTTGCCCCGCCAACGGCCCCGCCTCTTGCCGCCCACTTTCCGCCTCTCCGTCTGGCTTCGGCAGCCTTAGTCTACAACAAGTGTCAGCCATGCTTTGGGTCCAGAGGAACTATTTGGTATATGACTATTGCCATGACCCTAAGAGGGATCACACTCAAATCCCCGAGTGCTAATTAAAATGGGATTTTTTATTAAAAAAAAACTAGTTTACACAATACAATAAGTGTAAATCTAGGGGGGGGGTTTATTGAGATGGGTCCTGCAAGAGTGGTCTAGCGTCCAAAGCCTCCAAGATTTGCATGTTGTTTGTTATTGTTTCGTTGTTGAGTGTTTGCATTGTTTCCGTGGAATAATTTCTTTTATAAAGAAAGAGGAATGTTTTGACATTTATGAAAGAGAAATTGGGCCTTGAATTAAATGTATTTGTACTTTGATTCTATTAATGAAAAAGGGTTTCGTTTCTGAAATGAAACCTCGATTGTATCTCTTGCCTCTGCTTGCAAACCATGTGATATTTGGATTGAATTTTGGACCACAGAGTGATTGTGCGACGCCTTTAACTTTAACCATGTTTTGAGCTATCTTCAATGTTTTGGTTCCTAGGCAGGCAGGCAGGCAAGTTGGCATGGTCACCACTATGTTTATAAATGTGCTATATTATCCCTTGTCACATCAATCTGACATTTTATTTTATCTATGCTATCTTTATTCACATTCTATTTTAAATCGATTACAAATTAAAAGATTCATATAATAATTCTAATTTAATCTAATTCAATTTGATCATTTTTTTAATAATTTAATTATTAATTTAAAATTATCTCAAATTCAAATTTCAAACTTAAATGAAAAGACTTAATATGATCGGAACACTAGACGATTTAGCTTGAAGATATTATTAATAAAATCAAATATTCTAAAACTAAAATGATTTAAATTTAAAATAATTTAAACAAAATGAAATGAATGAAATATCTAAAATTTAAAATTCCAAATTGATTCAGATTGACGAAACACAAAACTCACCTATCATGCACAATTGATTTATCTTATTTAACCCCAATCGGAAATTTGTAGTTAGCATTTAAAAATTTATAATTTATTTATACCCTAAGAAAATTCCTACTTCGTCCCCAATTGAAACTTTTTTTTGAAATTAAAAGTTTAAATTTAAGGGTGAATGTCCGATTGAGTCTAGTTTAATAAATCTTGAGCTATTCGAGTTGATAAGTCATATTTTATAACTCAAATTTTATTAAATTTTTTAGTCTAATCAAGTCGAGTTGTTCGAGTTTTTGTTTTAATTTAATTATAAATATTTGTGATGTTATGATAGTATTTGATTCTAATTTAAATTACTTTTTATAACCATATACAATACATACATACATACGTGTATATATATATTACATAGAGTTTAGGGACTCGACTCAAATTTAAAAATAATCTACCAATTACTAAAATTTTTGAGTTATTCGAGTTCTATTTTATAACTTGACTTCAATTTGAAAATTTTTCGATTCAATTTGAATTGATTTTTATAAATAAAATTAATAAAAAATTAATTTTTTGAGTCGATTCAAATTTTGTTCACTACTAAACACATTATAGAAAACAGGACCTTCAAGCCCTCAAATCATAATTCTGAATGGACCTAAAAAGAAAGAAGATGATGGGCTCTATTTTATGGACCCTTTGCTGTTTTGACTCGAATGAATCCCGAAAACATTGGTCCACTAGCTGGTTAACTCTTTTGATGAAACCATTACCTCTTTGAAATTGGTAACAGCCATCTCTGTTCTGGTTTTGGCGGTAATCGACACAAATCGGAAAAGTTTAAAGAGAAACGAAATTTACCTTCTTAGGGTTTGCTTTTTTTTTTTGGAGATACAGAGAATTGGAGATGATGGACGTCGTTGAGCCACTTGATTTCGAATTAGAAGATTCACTTCTTATTAACCCTGTTGTCTCCAACAAAAGGTTTTTATCTTGCTATAAATTTTTAACTTCTTTTCTTCCGATATCTTTCTCTTTTATTCTCATACTTTTTCTCATGTTTTTGCTATATGTTTTCATACAGTTTAATAGTTTGGGTTGCTAGGATTTTGTTCTTTTCTTCTTCTCTATTTTTCAGTTTGGATTTACACTCAGGAAGTTGACTTTGGACCTATCAGTTCGAACATGGTCACTTCCTTAAGCATAGTGTCTTGTTAAATTTCGTTTATGAATCCAAACAGATTTTTGGAACCATTTACTTGATTATGCTTCTGCTTTCGTATTTATTTCAAATTAGTTTTTTTTTTTGGAGAATTGCTTAGAGCATTTCAACTAATTGAATCGGTTACCTTGTTAATTTATTGTAACCATGCAGTTCCATTTGATTCTTTGTAGTAATGTATTTTGCAAAATTGGTATTTAGGAAAAAGCTTATGGGTCTGGGTGAGCTTTTGACTGAACACTACAAGGAACAAAGCAAACTTATTGAGAATGAAGCCAAGAAACAGGCAAAAGCTCAGAAAAGCTATGATTCTGATGAGGATAAGAATTGCAAAGAAGCTATTCTCGCAAGTCTTCTTGATGATTGCCAAAAACAGGCATAAAAATAACATTTTCTTATTTCTCTTTTGCTCTGATAATGTAATGTATTCCGTCTTTGTTCGTTTTTAAGTTGACTGAAAATAAATGCATTCTTCTTTTATAGGTGAAAGCAATTAGCAGCGGGGAAGAGATGTTCGAGTGGGGCTTATGTGTCTTTGGACAGCAGGTATTCTCATGAGTAATTTAGTTTATCCTACTTGACCAGATATTTCTGGTGGCTGAAAAGTTTATACTTTTGGTTTATTTGTCTAAATTACAGAAGGCTACACCACCTCTATCATTTCCTGAGCTTGGAAGTTGGTCAATTTTGCAGTCATTCATGAATAATGGGCTCAACTCTCTGGTGGGGCTTACTTCTGAGCAAGGTCATTCACTTTCTTGTACTTGCTTTCTCATACCATTTTTCTTGGTAAATATGTTTCTCCATTTAGTTTGGGTTGCTGACTGCATCAATTATAGTTTCCATATTATGCATTGTCTTCTATGAAAAGCAATATCCCTGTATATATCATTGACCTCTTTCACTTGTGTTCTTTCAGAGTGCCCTTTCCTTGAAGGGTTATTAAAAAATGGATGGCTCTTAAGATTGATCCTAAAATGTGGTCGTGTAGAAAAAACAATAGCTATGTGGACCTTTTCTTTGAGTGAGTATCTCCTTTACACTTGGACCCAGCTTCTTCCTTTAATGATCAGTGAATGTTTATCTACATATCTCTTGGTTTTGTCAGTGCTATATTCGTCAAAAGAAGAGTTGAGGCCATCTGCTTGCGAATTTTGGTGTGCCATTCTTTCATCAAAAATTCAGGTGATCTATATTTAACTTGAAGAACTGAAAAAAGATCTTGATTTACAAATTAGTATTTCCTTTTTATTTGGATCTTTGAATTAATTGCTGTATGTCTGCCATAATCTTATCCAGATTGGTGCACGACCCATTGAAATTGACTGGTTACCCAACTTTTCTGAACTAAAGAGTGCTCTTGAAATATATGGGTTTCTTTTCAATTCTTCATCCAGCATGTCTGCTGAAAACAGTAAGTTCTTTCATCTCTTCTCCAGCTTCTAGCCCATTTTGTTTAGCACTTAATTGGTTCATCTTTTATCTGCTATAGGCTATGATCACACACTCTACATGTCAACTTTGTATGCATGATAATTAGATGCCAAGTTTATTGATGTTGTTGGCAGAAACTTTGCTTTTATAGTTTATTTGTTATGAAAATGCTATGGAGTACACATTGCTTTCTAATATCTGATTCTTCAATTTGTTTCTTAAGGACACAATCCGGTTTTAAAAAATTGATTATACATGGTGTAGCACTTTGGGATGTTTTTTGGTTAACGGAATGAAATATTAATTTTGGGAATAAGATTCCTGGAATGAAAGATTAACTGGGTAATAATATTTTCCCCAAACAAAACGCACCCTTACTGCTAACATCTACTATGATATGTTTATTTGCCTTCCTTTTTTTGGAAATATTTTTCTGCCTTTTTCCTTTACTTTCCTGTTTTTACATTCTACTTTTTTTTTTTGTTCCAATCCTGTTTTTACATTCAATAATTCAATTTTTGAACTCTTTTCCTCCGACTTTGCATACGCTATGCATTGTGAATTCTCTGTCTTCCTTTATTCAATCTGTTAAATTTAATGTTTTATATCATTGGTTAACACGCTTGGTGTCCATGCCTCATTGGTTTTTCTCTTTCCTTTTACCAGTTATTAAGGAATATTTAATTTTCATATCTTTCTAACATAAAATTTGGTTCTTAGGTTCTGGTTGTAAAGGGCCACCTCAAAATATCATAACCTGGATCAAATTTACAGCTGTTTATTGTCGATTAAGGTACGAGGAAATGGAGATTTACTATTAAAGAGAGTGGGTACTTTTTATTTAAAGTTGCTTAGGAACTTGTGGTTGATCTGTAAGCGGAATGCAACTAGTAGTGATAATTAATGCTCAACATGTGATCCAAAAATGGTGAATGGACATATTTCCTGACTGTTTGAGGTTAAGAAAATTTTGTGATATACAGTTTGAAGGATAGCCCCTTAGTGTTTTGTAGCTGTTTGAAAAATACCACCTGTAGAAACCAGATGTGTATTGGATTTCATACATGTTGGATGTTCCATGCTAGATTTTCAGTGTGATTGTAATTACATGGTACTCTCAATACAAAGTTTTTTTCCCTTTGTTCTCAAATATTGTTGATTTTGAGGATAAGTATGGCATTTTTTCTCATTTCAGGTGTAAGCAGTCGGTCCTTCTGACTTCAGACTGTCAAGAGCTAGCAGAAGTTATCATCTGTCTTTTCTTAGATCGGCAACTTCAAGGTCTCTCTGTTCTTTTGAGGGACTGTATCCAGTCGGTTATAAGTTCGTTCACAGACGAAGAATGGATTAACAGTTACTCTAGAATAGCAAAATCTATTGCCTCAAGGTTATTATTCTTTAGTGATTGTTTGTTAGCCCAACCCCACCAACTCCAATGTTGCCCGCTCCATGCTTGAGCTCACATAATTGGTTGCATTAACTTTCATTTTGCTGCTTCCTTTTTCCTACTCTCTTTCTTATGCCTGCCTCACATGAATGCAGAGTCCCTATGAACTTGAACTGCTTGCGAGCAGTGCAATGCCTTTCAGGAGTTGATCCTCGTACCAAGCATCTCAAAAGCGTTGTGGCCTTCGAAATTCTAGTTAATTGTTTTGATACAAAGGTATGCTTCTGTTCTTGCTTTTATATAGGTCTCTGTTTGAAAGTTTTTTTTTCAAATTTCTTTCAACTTGAGGTTACAATCATTAATCATGATAAGATATTGTTTTCCAAGAATTAATTCATTTTTGCTGATGCTAATTTTCATTTGATGTAATACCAGCAGCATCCAAATATAGTAATCATTAGGGGTGTTCATGGTCGGTTAACCGTATTATCAAGACTAAACGGTTAGTTAACCATTACAATGCTTATTAAATTTTGTTAACCATAACCTAACCATTAAGAAACTGTTAACCGCTAACAGTTAACCGTTTTTAACGGTTCGGTTATAGGGTAACCTATGGTTAACCTATTACAATATTTCTCAAACATAACACAAAATTTTTAAAATTTCATAAAACTTACGACGATAGAAACATATATATATTTGTAAAAATCTTATTTATTTGTAAATGTATTTTATTTTATAGAAATATATATATTACGAGGTATATTCTTTTTTCTACAGTTTAAAAATCTTTCATGTATATTTTTAAGTTTTAATTTAAAATCATGTATTTCTTCCATATGTGCTTGATTTAATGTTATCCTATATAAGATAAATATGATAACTGAAAAATAGGAGGAATCATTTTGATTTTATTTCTAATTTTTTTCTCTAAAAAAATACAATTAATTAATTATAATTTATTAACAGTTAACTGATGGTTAACCATATATCAAAATTCATTAACCGTAACCGTTAACTGATATTTTTAGCGATTGGGTTAACAGAAACCGTTAAACCTTAACAGTTCGGTTAATTAACCAATAAAATGTAACGTTACATCAGTTAATGGTTATGATTACCAGTAAGGGATTAATTTGAACACCCCTATTAATCATAATATAGTGTATCTCTATAATTTGTAATATATATTTTATACATAAATAGAGTTTGGAGAATATTTTCAACTGGCAAAAATACTTTTCATTGTTTATTCTATTGCTTTATAGATATTTGAATAATATTTTAGTTTTATTATTTACTTTTCGAATATTTGAAAAACATTTTATTAAAGCTAAACTTATATACTTTGTATCTATATTAAATTACAATTTCACTATAATTTAAATTATTCAAATTTTGAGCTAGGCTTTTACTGGTATTTAAATAGATATAAAACTAAGAAATCAATGATAAATTAGATATACTAACATTCAGCATTAAGATGTTTTCATTCAATTAATAGATAAAAAAAATCACAAAGAGTTTGAATTTTATTATTTTCATTTAGAACTTAACTATGATTGGGAGTTTGAATTTTGGCATCTTATATTTGAAATGGGTTTATGTCACTTACTGATTGACTGTCATTCTTCTCAGGTTGCCAACGAAGAAGGAATCCTGACTTTGCTTATCTCAATAAACGTGAAAGAAAAGGCCTGTGATTTCTTCAAGTTGTACATCTATGTCATTCTGACTGAAAATTGGCTTCGATACGATGAGAGGTTTAGCGAGAAGCCAGTGATTCGTGAAATGTGGGGTCTTTTTCTCCGGAACTGTTCTTGCCAAATAAGCAGCACAGATTTGAGGCCTCATGCATCAAAAGTATGGAACCAGAAATTTCTTCTGTAGAAACCTGACTCAGCATGTCTCGGTTTATTAATTTCCATTCTACCTCGCAGGTTCGAAACAAAGCTGCATATCTTCTTCAAGACATTGGCAGCAGTTAATCGAGTAAGAATTCTAATCCATCCTCAATAAATAACGTAGAGATGTTTGATAAGAAACCCAGTATTAGAAGTTAGGTATATTCTCTGGCTCCCTCACTGTAATATAATCAACGGTTGAATAAAGGAGCTTCAAATCCATTTGCATTTGCTGCTATGAGCACCCTCTACCATTTGTGAACTTCATTTTGATGGATTTTTTTTTTGGCATAATACCTATTTTTCTCATGTACAGGTGAAAATCTCTCTTTGGCACTTTGGGTCAAATTTTGACACTTAGGTTTACTTTGTTTTCACTATACAACCTCTTCAAACCTCTTATGTCTGCGTCGCGCAGACAACGCTCTTCTAACGTTTGCGCGAGCTCTTCTTGGTACAGACATGGTTTTATGTCTTCAAAAGTCTTCAAACCTCTTCAAGAACAATTATAAAATATGGTTATTTATTAAAATAATTTTAAATAATTTAATAAGGTTATTTATTTTAAATAATTTATTTTAAAATAATTATTATAAAATATAGATTGATTTATTTTAAAATAATTTATTTTAAATAATTTATTAGTATGAATTGATTTATTATAGTTGTATAGATTGATTTATTTTAAATAATTTATTAGTATGTATTGATTTATTTTAAAATATGGATTGATTTATTTTAAATAATTTATTAGTATGGATTGATTTATTTTAAAATATGGATTGATTTATTTTAAATAATTTATTAGTATAGATTGATTTATTTTAAAATATGGATTGATTTATTATTGTAGTTGTATGGATTGATTTATTTTAAATAATTTATTAGTATGGATTGATTTATTTTAAAATATGGATTGATTTATTTTAAATAATTTATTATTGTAATTGTATGGATTATTTAAATTTAAGTATTGTAAAACTAAAATTATTTAAATCTCAGAATTGCAAAATTCTTTTAAGTTTAAAAAATCAGTTTATTTATATTTGAGTTCATTTTAGCAGTCTGCAGACGTTAAAAAACAAATAGTCTTCTTGTAGACTGTAGACTTTTGGTCCACCTCTTCTGCTGTAGATGTCTGAAGATGTGGTCTGCAGACTGTAGATCTTTTACCTCTGCAAAAACAAACATCACCTTAATACCTATATTCTCTCTTTTTGAAAATGTCATGTGATCCAATCAGAAATTGTCACATTTGATAAATATTTAAAAAAATTCACAGAAACGATAATAATTTAAATAGAATTATAAAAATGTAATAAATTCAGAAATAATAAAAAAAAAGAATTTATGTTTTTGGATATATATATATATATATATAGTTAAAATTTGTAATTATGCTTAAGTTATTTTAAAACAATAAAAAAACTTAAAAACAGTAAATATATAAAATAATTCCCAAAAAGTTGTGAGAATATAAAAATTATAAAAATGGATGTTTTTAATAAATTTTGGTTTTCTAAAGTTATTTTTTTAATTTTGTTTATGATTTTATTTTTTTAGAAATTTCAATTTATTTGGATCAAAATGAGAATATCATTATAAATACATGAATAAGTGCTATTTTTTTAATTATAATTTTTTTTATGGATTTGATCTTTTGCAGGCAAGGGTGTATATGTTGATAGAATCACCAAGATTCAGAATCAGGATACTTCGTATGGTGTTTTTTTTTTTTTTTTTGAATAATTTATTTCTATTTGATGAGGTTATTCCTAATGATTCATGTTTGGTGGATCTAATCATGTAGTTTATTACATGTAAGTTTAACAAATCTGATGCGACAGATATTATGTTTATGTTTCTAACCTTCAATTAAAAAAGAAAAAGCTAATGAGGTTAACAAAAATTAAGAAAATATTATTCTTGATTAAAAAAGGGTAAAAGAAACGGGGGGGGGGGGGAAGCAAAAAAGGAAGACGTGTACGATTCGGAACAAGGTTCGGAAATTTAAATTTAGGCTCGGGAGCCACTGAACCTCCTTTATTTTGCTTCTTAATTTCCGTTAGAGCTCCCTCAGTTTGCCTTTTGCTTCCTCTTTATTCTCCCTCTTAATTTCTTCCACGGCTTTATTCTCTGGGAATCCAATCCCTCTCTTTTCATAGACCAAAAAAAAACAATCAATTTGCTTCTTTCACTCTTTATTGTGAAGAACAAAGTCACTTCTTTTCTACATATAGTTTTCCCACTTCCATCAAAATCCCCCCCTCCTCATTTTTGATTAAGTTCTTCTTCATCCCTGTCTAATTTTAGAAGCTCTGAGGCAGTTTTCGCAGAATGGGAGGTGACAAAATGGCGAAAAGATCATCTTTAGGAAACCTGATGAGGAAGAGATTGTCTGATATCACCAATTTACAATCACAACCCAAGCCTCCAACCCAACACGAAAATCCTCAACACGTTTCTCCTGTTGCTGAAGACTATATTAATCAGTTACTTGCGGTATTTTCTAATTCGGGTCTTGTTTATTTTTAAGGATTTTCATTTATACGTAATTTTTTTATTCATTGTTGTTCACATATAAACCAGGAAAAGATGACGCTGATGGAACTTATTGAGGAGAGAAAGTATCCTTTTTCTTTTCTTTTCTTTTCAGTTTTGTGGCATTGAATGAATGGATGAAATTATTTTCCCTTAATTGTGATTGAACAGTAAAATTATTGAATTGAGTGGGACTGAGTTGCAGAATCTGAGAATCTGTTTACAAAAATTACAGTTACAAAATTGGAACCTTGCCCAATCAAACACTCAGATGTTAGCGGTCTGTTTCCCGGCTTTGATTTTTGTTCCTTTCTAATTACTGAAGTATTTGGTTGCTATCATTGGTACTGATTTCCTTCGGATGGTTTTTCAGGAGCTTAATTTAGGGAAAGATAGGGTAAGTTCGTTTGTTGGAACATCTGAAACCTCTGGAAAAGGAAATTTTGTGTTTTGGCTTTGGTTCCTGGAGAATTAAACCTATTTTAATTTGGGGTTAATCATTTCAGGTGAAGGCTATGCAGCATGAGCTTGTATGCAAGGATGCTTTTCTTAAAGCAAAAAACCAGGAAAATAAGGTTAACATTATAATCTTATTTTAGTCCTTATACATGGAACAAGGACTAAAAAATCTAATTTGACCTTGCACGTTTAATAGAACTACCATAGATTAGGAACATTTCACATTGTTTGTAAGTTCTTGCAGCTGAACCATTTTCTTCACCGTAAAGAGTTCACCTTCTGGTTTTGTTGTATTATGAGAGCAGGGAAAAGTGGATAGCAGCTGCCAAAAGAACTCACATGTGGGACAGCAAGGAGCTGAAGAATGCATGGCTACAGCTAATGACGACGACAAGCATCGTGCTCGAAACAGAAGACGGAATGCAAGAAGTCAATGTAAACTTTCACATGTTCTAGACTGACTGGCTTTCATATTCATGATTTGTTCCTCTAAATCTGTTGAACTGACATATGGGATTTGTGATCAAATTGTGCAGCTATGGGCCCTTCAACTACAAGCCAAAGAAGTGGAGGAGATAAAGAGAAGATTGAAAACAAAAGGTCAGCTAACCATGGCTATATCATCAACAAATCTTGTCATGTTAGGGTTCTAAAAGCACTGCAACTCTTGATTTTTGCAGGCGATGTTTGAGAAGGCAAACTGCTAGATTAAAATCCCAAGAGCAAGGAATCCTATTTGAGCTTGATGATATTGGCTTTGCGCCAATAGTTTCATCTGAAAGATGTTCAATTGGAAGACCATTGCGCAAAGCAGCTGAAAAGGTGCAATCCTACAAAGAATGTCCACTTAATGTTAAAATGAGAAGAACAGATTGATGAAGTGCACCCCATTCCTCAGCCTGTAACCTTTGTATTATTGTTGTTTATGGAGCTTGTATTTGAGTGTGTTTTGGAATGATTGTGTTGTAACTTTAATATTGGCCAAACATCCAATCAGAAAGAAATGGAGTGTTTAAATTAAAGCTAATTTGATCTCATCCCACCAAATATTGTTAGATTCCTGACGTTGCCAGCAACAACTGGATTTTGTCCTATTTAACTACTGAATGGTAATCAAAAGAGAAAATCTTGCACTAGCATTATGTAAGATATCAGATGATGATGGTGAACCCAAGAATTTGTCATTGATTCTGCTTTGTAGTATGTTGTTGGTTAAATTGCTTGACAAGTCCTTACATTATAGGGTTTAACAGTAAATTAGTCACTTTTATTGCATAAGTGAACATTTTGCGGTTAATCTTGAAACAGGCAAAATTTGTGTACGAGTGGGAGGGAGCCACTCATCCGTGGTTGGTGGGTTATACTTATTAGCCCAATTAGAAAATGGTGTACAAGAAAAATCACTTGAAATGAAATTCGCTTTGATTATTAATTTTGAAAAAGTTATGTTTTGATTACTTATGTTATTAATCTATTAAGTTTTAATTGTTTATGTTATTGATTGTTATATTTTAGTCACTGAATTATTGATGATTCATGTTAGTCAACAGATGTTAATTTTTTATCTAACCCTTAACTTTAGATAAAATACTATTTTGACCCAATTTAAAATAAAATATCATTTTAACCCTAAAACTTTAGATAAAATATCAATTTAACAATTGAATTCGATCAAAGTCTCCTGTCGTCGACCACTACTCACCATTGTCACCGTCGATCCTATCGACTGTCGTCATCAACAACCATTGCACCTCAAAATATTTAATTCACTCTTTTTTAATCTCTTGAACTTGAATTCAATGTCCGTTTCACCCATTATTTTTCATTCATTTCATTTTGGATCAAATTCATATAGTTTTTCATCAATTATTTTTCATTTTTTCATTTTTTTCATTTTTTCATTTTTTCATTTTCGTCCCTAAGTGATGTCAACATGGAAAAAGCTATTGGATGACTTGTCACGAGGCACAGACACACCTACGTGGGAGCGCCTTCCAAAAAGCATGTTTTGGAAGGTACCCAGTATCCTACGTGGTCAAAAGAGGTGTCATTCTGAGAAATAAAATCTTGTGGATGTTATTTTAATGAAAGAAGAAGAAGGAAATTGTATTATTTAGATAAAATTACCATAAATATATAATCTTCCTCTATAATTTATAATATTATTAAATGTTTGATTGGTTTAATATCACTCATCAATAGGATGTTAAATCAGTTGATAAATTATTAAAATAATATTTTTTAAAAAATAATTAATATTATTATAATAATAAATATAAAATAATTAAAAATTAAACCCGTATTTATTGTAATACATATGTAACACCTTTCAACCCATTCTAAAGAAGGTCGGATCGGAAGTGTTATCCAAAAAAGAAAAACCGAAATTTACAAATCATACACTGACATACAATCATCATATAGCTCACACAGTATTATTAACAATAATTAATTAATTTTTATAGTGATACCTTGGTTACATATCAATTTATAACTTTTCAAAATTTTAGGGACTAAAATATAAATATTCAAAAATTCAGGGATCTAAATGTAATTAATCAAAAATTAATAAAATTATTCAGTAAAAATCATTTAATTTTATTTAGAAGATATTTAGTTCAATAATGAACGATGTGCTTGTAATCAACTCTTAACAATCATGTCATAGCATAATCATTTAATTAGGGACTAACTTAACAATTTTTAACCTTGGATATACAAATTTTAGGTATAACGTCTTTACCATTCAACATGTAATCATTATAAGATAGTTTTTTTTTTCTTCTATTTTTTACATGAAATAATTCTATATAACTTTATCTTTTAAATCTTTAATAGATTATACTTTTAACTATAAAATTCCAAATTAATTATATTTATTTTTAAAAAATATATTATACAAGCACTTGAACTCATTCCAACTCTTAACTTCATATGCTTTTATCATGTTTTATGCCTGAAATCTTTAGTTACAATATGTAATCAAATTAACTATCAAATACTTTAAATTTTCATATGGAATTTGAACACAGTGTTTAAGAGTTGTGCATAAAATCTTTCAAATAGACAGATGACTTCCCAAAGAAAAGCATATTAAAAGAAAGAAAATATATATATAATTTTTTATTTGTATGAGGTGATTATAAGGTAGTATTTATTCAAAAGACTCTCGGTCATTTGACAATGAACTTTAGAACACTCTTATAGACGTCGTGCTCAAACCTGAAACCTCTACAATTAACAATCATCTTTGAACTATTGAGATCACTTGATTCGCGTAGGGAAAAAAATTAAACAGACGAAATAATGGGGAGCTACCAAATTTGTGTGAAGTCAATAAGAATGGCCCTTTGCGAACTTCTGTCTTACATTTAAGCTAAAACTTGATACAATAATACAACCGTGTGGGTCCTAACACTCTTAATTTGATTTTTTTTATTTAATGTTTAAAGTATGATTCCCACCATATCTTATACACCCCATTATTAAATTCATATTTGTTAACGCACCCCTTAATCTTTTATTAATGTACCGATCCGTCTACTAAAAAAAGTTGATTTCAAGTCGCCCATTCATGAGGACATTTTTGTGCCCTATTTATAAACAAATAATTGTAAGATAAATTTGTTTTTAAGAAAAATGAACGTTCCTTTGTATCATTTTACAAAAAAAAAAACAAGGAAATGGGTGTCTCCAAATTCCTTAAAGCATGGCATTATGATGGTAAAGTTAATCCTATAATGATAAATCAAGGGTTTTAGCTATATTAATATTTTTTACATTATTAGGTTTACTAAAATAAAAATTATAATTATTATGAATAGCATGATTAACTATAGTTATCTAATGATAAAAATTCCTTAGGCAAGCAATTGATTCTTTGGAAGATATATTTAGAGTTTCTTTTGCATAATCAATCATCACATAGAAACAAATCTCGTCTATAAAAATTATCAAAATAAAAACATTATTAAAATAATATTATCAAAATAGATGCTCGTAATAAGAACAATTCTATAAAAAAAACCATAAGTCAACTATACTATGCCATTTCAAGTTTATATTTTTCTATTCAATCAAATTGTCGCCCACTATATTTTCATGAGAATATATAGTATGTGAGTCAGATAACGAGTGTGTGCTATATACAAATCCACTACCAGTAACAATAGCACTTTTAGTGCTAAACAGGAGTATAGGTACTGTAGAACATAATAGCACTATACTTTTAGTGCTACCATGTAGATGTAGTAGCTGCTTGAACTCAAATCTTCTCAGGATAACAACATTCTCTTTTACTAATGAGAAAACTTGATGAGTTTCAACAATTAAATAACCCTTTAATTAATCACTTTTAAGGGTTGTTTTAATTTGGGTTGATTATTTATATATCAATGTGTAACCTACACTTGTCCCATATTAAGAGGGGTTAAAATTAAGTATTTGGTTAAGGTTGTTTTTAATGACAAAGGGTCTTGGATTAGTCAAATGGAAGCCTTTCCACTTTCCTACAAGGAGGGCTTTTTACTGTGCAAAATTGGGTCCATTAGGTTTCTTTGGAAAATATAGGTGGGAAAGTTTGGTTACCAGCTCCAATTTTTACACCAATAACGACACAATATATCAACCATTGACTCCAATATGTACATGAACATGATTGAGAGATATGGACACACAATGAAAGAGGAATGTCCACTTTTTAGGGTTCCAATTTGTGTACTCTCTCCCACACACAAAAAAAATGCACATTCAAACATTGATTTAAGTCAAAATTCAGTTGTCTAGGTCCAAAAATGAAAGTGTTTAATTTTAAACCAACTACTCATTTCAATTCAATATATAAAATTTCTTTAAATAACGATGCTTTATTAAGTTGACAATTTTTTTTTGAATTATCTATATAAAAACTTTATAATTTGTGAGAGCATGTACACAGACTCTAGTATGTTGATAGCATATAAGTAAAAAGTAAGTTGGATGGTAAATGTTTGGTGAAGGTATGTTTCTTTTTCTTTTTAGAGTAAAAGGAGTCTTGTTAAAAATCTTTTTATAACTCGATCGAGTTTCATTAATCATAACCAAAGAAACCATTAAGAGTATCTAATAACTGGTACAAACTATTAACCAAAAAACTTGCCCCCATTAAACCAACCCCTAGAATCAAAATCTAATATTGCAAAAAAAATAAGACTAAAACCTGCAAATCATTCATTGGAGAAAGAATGTTGAACCAAACTAATATGTGATGATTTGTGAGAGGGTACTCATGATGCCCTAAATGTCCAGATTAAAAAATAAAGCAAATTGGGGAACAATTGGTAGTATAAACATGCTTAGATGGAACGATATAATTTGTATAACTGATAATTGGGTGAATTGATGTACAAGTTGTAATATTGTTTAATGCTAGTAGGGAGCATGTGTATTGCTTCTTGGTGTCTTGGAGTTCCTTGGGTCAAAATTAGGGTGTTTACTTACTAGAATTTGACAATTACATTGCTTTGGACTTTGGGTCTAGTATCAATACCTAGAATGTATAATACCTATAGGATGAAATGGCTTTTCAAAACTTCGAACTTATTTTTGGATATCGAAAGTATCTCCCTTGGCTATTAATTTTATTTTTGAGTAGAAGGCAAGACAAAGTCTGTCCCTTCCAGGGATTTAAATAGCGGTTGCAATCTTGTTTTCAGTTATATTGTATTTATCGCGATTGTGGTGCTATTACGGTTATTTTGTTGGTATCACGGTCATGCAATAATTGTTTTGTACGATATTAATACCGTTATATAACGGATCACTAGTTAAGTCCCTGCACTTTTTGATTATGCAGTAGTTCGTGGAATCAAGGTTAAAAAACAAAGATAAATAAACAAATGTAAAATTAGATAGTTAATTTCTTACAATATTATTGCTTTTGATAAAGATAAGATATGTTCCAAGTTGAATTTTCTTAGGTTACTAAAAAGAAGCAAAGCGACATGGAAATATGTATATAGTCAGTAAAATAACAGAGAGAGGCGACTGGGTTTCTTTTCTACTCCCGCTATTGGCGCTATTGTAACGCAAGTTGTTGGTGATGTTGGCGTTGAATGTTTCATGGATGTATGCATGCATGGTGCATGGTTCATGGTTCATCCATGCGTTAAGATAAGAACCACTGGTGTTGGATTTTGATGCATACAAGAATGGACCGATAGGGGAGTGTATGAGAAAGTCATCATCTTGAAAATTTTAAATATTTTATTTATATTTTCTATTTATAATCTATTTTCACTCTTAAAATTTTTATAAGTTTTACGCCTCTTAAAATTTTAGAAAAAATTATCCTTTGACATAAGCATATGCATGGCATGGCATGGTTTGGATTGAGTAAAAGAGCAACCAAAATGTATGGCATTGGAAGAGAGGATAGAATTGGCCAAATTGGCATGTTGTGCTTTTGTCCAACCCGAGCGGTACCAACCAAAAAGAAATAAACAAGAGAGCGAGTGAAAGAAACACACAAAAAAATAAATAAATAAATAAATATATTGTAATTTGGATTATTATTTCAAATAATTTCATAAACAGTTTTAAATTATGACAAATATTATATTTATTTTTATACATTTAGTAGGATTTTAAAGCTGTTAATGGAATTATTTTTTTCAACAATATTGTATCAAATAATAAACCTTGTAATTTTTTATTTTTAAAATACATTTAATTAGAATTTAGTCATCACACTTTAATTCGAATCCAGTAACCATCCTGAAATTTCTATAATTTTAATTACTAAAATAGTTATTTTTATTAGGAGTTTTAGGGTTTGGATATTTAAAAAAAATCAACTTAGTAAACTAATAAAAATTTAACAAAATTAGTGATTTAGACTAAAAGTGTATTATTAGTAATAGTAGAATAATTAATTTATACCAAATTAAAATATATTGATTAAATTTCTTAAGTTATATATATATATATATATATATTATTAATAATAGTTGGAGGATCAAAGTATGCCAAACTATTATACATGGATTAAATTCTAAAGTTGAGTATAATATAATGACTAAGCTATAATTTGACAAGAAAAAGTAGTTGCTATCGCTATCTTATTTACCGTCCCTTGTTATTTATAAGACTGGGAAGAAACCACTCATAAACCCCGCCTTTTGTTTATCCTCTGTTTTTCTCTAATTCCAACACCTCTTTTGAGTGTATTCAACTCTGATAGCATGGATACTCACAGAGGTTATCTTTGTCAAGGAAGGGTAATTTAAAGGCCATTTCTTGTTTCTTCTCTGGTTTTATCATAACTGCTTAATCTGTTTTCAGTGTTATCCTTTTGGCTTGATTGTCCATAATTTGGGCTAAACTGTTAATTGGGTGTTTTAATTATGCAGGCAGTGGAAGAGCTTAAGCATTCTCTTTTGTACACGACTATGGAGCTGGAACAAACGAGATTGCTAGTTCAGGAGGAGCTTAGAAAGAGAGATGATCAATTAGTTGAACTCAAAGGGTTGCTGAGCAAGGCCATGAAAGAGAGGGATGAAGCTCAGGAGAAATGCCAAAGACTTTTTCTCGAGAACCTACTGCTTCACCAGCAACAAGTTGCTGCTGCTCCTCTCTCTGGAGTTTCCAGCATCGAAGACGAACCCAGGAGGGGGATTGACTCCAACAATGGCTTCTCATCATCTGATTGTGAGGAAAGCATTGTTTCATCCCCTCTTGTCGACACAATTCAACAACTGCAGCTACCACCACCACAAGCTGCCATAGAGCTAGTGCCTAAAAAACCATTGCCTGAAAAGGGAAAGCTTTTACAGGCAGTGATGAAAGCTGGTCCACTATTGCAAACCCTTCTTTTAGCTGGACCATTGCCTCAATGGAGACACCCACCACCACCACTTGAGTCCTTTGAGATCCCACCTGTGACCATTCCTTCACCACCACAAAGTCTCCACCAGGACTCCTTGATCAGAACTAAAGGTTGCAGCAACACCCTAAACACTTGTGGTAAAGTTGACAGAAAAAGGAGTCTTTTTGATGGCTCTGATTCTCCTACAGAGACCAAGTACCAGAGATTAATCCTCCAACGACTGCTAAATGCTTGATACAAACATAGTAGTCTCCATAATACTAATGTTATATAAAGTATTTTACCATGTTTAATCTTATTGTCAGGGTATGGTTACTGATCTAGCATTTTAGTACGAAGGTTTGCTTTAGAGAAGCAACCATCCAATTTCCTAATCACCCTTTGGAGAGAGATCTTATATGCTTGGCATTTTGCCAATGATTTTCGGTGAAGATATTTGTCCTTATGTACTCCCCCAACCCCCATTTTTTCTTCATATCTTGTACTTGCTCCATGATGTGAAAGGGAGCCTTGATTTTTCTCCAAGACTGCTGTGGAATGTAAAAATGACTTTATAGCTTTCATGTTCTTACTAGGGTTTGTGCTTTGTAAATGGGGAGAAATGAGAGATTTATCTAGATTAAAGCAGAGATATTGGGTGTGTAGTTGTTGAAATGGGCAACAACCAACCAAGAAGGGTCTAAGAGGGGTTGCTTTGCTTGTTGGAATAGTGGATCCCACAAATCAGAATATGATATGCTACTGTATGATTATATTACTCTTTTATGTTTCCCTCTTTCATTGTTTAATGCTAATACTAGCCAGTTTAAGCAGAGATATTTGTGCTTTGGATCAGGGGAATTGGATTCTTTTGGGAAATGAGCCTTCAAGGGTTAATACTTGTAAATGGTTAGAATGCTGGTGCTTTTGTCTAGTTCTAGTTGTAGCTTCAAAGCGCAATTGTGTGATTGGTTGATAACATCAAGTCCTAATCAAAATGCCTCTCTTTGCATGATCCTTTGTCAATGCAGAAGCAGTTACAAAGTCAGGTTCACATTGAAAATCGTTTAGGCCAATGGATGGATTTCATTGGCGAAAAGCCAACTGAATTTGAAACCAACTTGTTTCTACTCTTATCAACCAATATACCCTTAACTATGCCATGCATCACTTCACAGCTTCACATGGAATTTGAGGCAACAGTGTATGTCCAAAGCAGACTTTGGGATCGCAAGAGATCCAGTCATTCTCATTTTTATTAGAGGCTTAATATAAAAATTAATGCTCAAACTATACCATTTTTTCCATTTAGGCGTTTAAACTATTTTTTGATCAATCTAAATATCTAACGTTTTCAATGTTATATTTTTAAGTGTCTGGACCATCACCGCCATTAAATTCCACCAATAAATGACATATGACACATTTATAACATTTATAGAATTTAAATAATTATTTAAAATAAAAAACTTAAAAATTAATTTAAAAAAAATAAAAAATCTTAATTTCAAACCCCAAACACCAATCATCACTGCCACTACCGCCACCGCCCTGGTCACCACCTTCGACGAACAACCACCTCAGTCATCGCCGCCCACCTAGTGACCGACCATCGCTTCAATTCCCTAAATTCCTAAAATCCCTTTCTTCGATCATGACAGTCGAACATTTGACCAGCTGTGGAAGTCAACCATTTGGCCATTCGGTCCGTCGTTTGGCTGCTTAGGAAAAGAACACTGGAGAAAGAGAGGGAAGGGATGACACGAGTTGGATTTTTTTTAATAATTTTTTTTTTTTATTTTTTTTAAAAACTAATATCTTCAAAATTATCAAAATACGACACATATTACTTAACGAGATTTTTTAACCATTATTATGTTCAAGATACTTAAAATAATAACGTTTATGTTAAAATCTAAATTAACCAAAAAAATAGTTTTAAAATCTAAACTAAAAAAAATACAGTTTGAACACTTTTTTTTATACCAAGCCTTTATGGAAACACAGTTTTCAATCCGCAAACCTACTATAGTATCCCTAAGCAGACTCGCCCTTTACCAGTTACATCAATATTCGGCAAAGCCTAAGATCTAGATAATGACACATTTTCATTTTTTTTTTCTTAAGACAACCCATATTCGTTCAAGTATGAACATGGTTAAAGAATTGTGGGCTAGCTTGCTGTTCCAAGCTATGCCATGATTAAGCGCAAGGAAACTGCAAATATTGTAGTATTCAAGCAGTAAAACAAACAGGAGCAGCCATGTATTTTCAAATTTCAAAGCAAATTTTAACATAAATCCAAAGAGTTGCATCCAAGTTCAGTTCATGCAAGACTTTGATTGAAAAATTAGGCAGAAAAATCGAAAATACCTGTTTTTTTCGATTTTTCCATGGGATTGTGCACTCCACATGGCATGCTATAATAGACTGAAGACTCAATCCTACCTCCAATGAGTGGCACCGGATATGACTGAGTCTTTGTTTCTAGGTCCTCCACTACTAGAGTCTAGAACAATATTTAGTTCTAGACTTCTACCCTGTTAGTTTCAGGTCAAGGCTGATGCCTAAAGACTTTGATAATTCCCATCAAAAAGGGAAATCATTCCAGGCTAGACCAAAAACATCGCAGACATTATCTACCTCAGAAGAACTAGTAGGTTCCCAGATAAACGTTTTCCCCCCAATTTATAGATTAGAAAGGAAGACCAAGCCTTTAATACACTGAACATGATAAAACGAAAATCAAAAGCAATACTTATCAACAATTCCGACATGATTTTTCAATATAGGCAGCAAATTGCATTAAGTAATATTGAAAGTCTTTAGATTTCAAGAAAATTGGTAAAGGAATCAGCCTATCCAGCAAGAGGAACCTTCTTGGTTGCAGAAGAGTATATGTATTTACATTGCAAGGTTTGGAAACTGGAGACTACGAGTCCCCTTCACACACAAAATTATTGCTATTCACCTACCTGGGGAGGAAAAATATTGAGACACTTATCAGAATTCCTCAATCATCCTCACCATCATCTTCATTATTAGTTTGATTGTGTTTTTGAGCATTATACATCTCAGCGACCTGCAAATAATCAAGAAAAGTAATTAAGCTAAAAGAGAATAAGCGAAGCATGCACACAGATGCATATTGTTGCTCCGCCATAAATCATATGAACAAATTAACAGAATTTTTTGTTCTTCACCTGCTCGGATGATGTAGCTTGCTCTGGTGTCTTATCTTCTCGAACGCGGACTAAACGGGGAAACCGGAGAGATATACCCTTTTAGCAAGACAAGGAATTAGATGAGTTGATTTTCTACTAACAAAGAAAACATTGATAAAAACAACAGTTGCAAGATCCAAAATAATGAGTCACCCATCCCTAGAATTCAGTAATCAAATAATACACACAGGAGATTGAGAAATAAATAAAACTAAAAGGCTTCAACTTGTGACAACGTTTATCCCACCTTAGCAGGATCCACAATCCCAATTGCAGCAGAATAGACAGGGCTAATGGTCAAGTCTGCCGCTTTTACCTCCCAAACCTGCAAGAAGATCAAGAAACATTTTCAAACTACTGAAATGAATAGCAATAGCCTAAAGCTTAAATAATCAGATTTACTGAATTCAGAAGGGAGTTTAGCAGACCTAGGTCGTTATAACAATAGATATAGGAACAAAAAATTCGGAATACAATTCTTAATTCATTTAGGATCTAAAAAATGTTAAACTTTTGTAGGGCACAACAATAATCATCTCAATTGATTCAACAGAAACCATTTAATTTTTTGATGAGAGATAAAAACCATTGATATACTCTACAGAGGAACATTCATAAACCCAGATTTCAATAAATAGTAGCAAGATCACAATGAGAATTGGGAAAAACATTTACCAAAGTTCCAAAAATTCAGTATATAATTCTTTTAAATGTCAACAAGAAACGAATCCTTAAACAACAAAAATCACACACTACAAAATCCCTAGAGGTCACAGACATAGGCAGGCAGGATGAATGGAGAACATGGAGTAAAAATTGTGATAACAAATACTGCAAGCATGCACCATGCAAAACAATACTGTAATTGAGAAATTTCACCACTCTAATCTAGAAAACTGATAATTCATTGTCACTGTTTATGACATATGACTTCCATAGGAATGGTACTTTGCCCCATCAGATTAGAGAATAAAGGCACACTTCCCACCAACCCTACTATGGAATAGGCTTTAGTGCAATCCTAACTACAGCTGTGGCAAGCTGCAAACTCCCAACCAATTGGCCAAACCATTCCTTACCTGATATGACGCATCATGTAAGCATACTCCTTCCACTAAATATCAGTTTTGTCCACTACAGGAACATAGTCATCATGGAACATGCAATTAACAAATTCTTTAACACACGAAGATACTCAAAGAAGTGCAACTTTACCTCTGAAGTCTCAAGCCATACATCTGGCTTTATGTCGCAACAATAGTATGACTGTAACCGATAAGAAAATCAGAATTTGTATACTTATCAAAAAGATAAATGTGCTCACAATTTCCTTTCTTACAACCGAAAATATCAGGAGACAAACCTTTGGTTCAGGAATCACTTTAGAACGAAGACTTGAAGAACGTTCTTCAAGCTGTGCTTCAGAAAATCCTGTACCTATTGAACATCAAAGAGAGAAGATAAAGGGAAGGTGGGACAGTGGATCACCAGCTGGCAAAACAACCAATATGTCAAGAAGTAGCAATTCAAATTTCACTAACCAATTTTACAGATGCTCTGGAATTCTTCACTAGTCTCATCATAACATGCCAAGAGAAAGGCACCATAGATGCCTAAGGATAAACATGATTGCACAGTCAACACAAATGAATCAATTAAAGAAAAAAATTACATAAAAGCTAAGATGGATACAGAAACAATCAGCATAAGATAAACTATATACGAGCTCCAGTCATCGGATATGATATATAAAAAAATGATTACCAGTCCGTTTCCCGCGGCCGTGGAAAGCCGCAATAGGTACTAGATCTAAAGTGTCTCCGACACTGCATGGAACAGAGAAACATAAACAGTTGCATACGCACAAAATAATACCTGATCGTAATTTGCACCAAGAAGCAAACATTTCCAACACCTTACCTTTCCATGTAGTCTTTCTTCAATTTTAGCCAGTTGAGTGACCGCTTTGATGGCTCGTACGTAGCATCTCTATCCAATGTTTTGATAATTAAACCCTCACAACTGCAAAATAAGACTGATTAGCATCACAGAAAACCAAAGTACTTGATGGGGAAAAAATTATTTTCCTGATTTTCTTTTACAATATTTGTTGGGCTCATTCCAGCAGCCAGCTAAAAATTTCTGGAAGAATTAAACAATCACCTTGAAGAAACAGCAGCATCAAGGAATTTTTGAATCTCCTCAAGATCATTGGATGTTATGGCTGTTGCAAACTGAAAAAATCCTGCCTCTTCCTCAAATGAATCATAAAGCCTCTGTAAAGGACAAAAAGTAGAAGACCCTAGTGAATTGAATAGGACGCCTGATATGCAGTGGACAAGACACTTCCTCAACATAAAAAACACTCCAAATCAATTGCTCAACCATGCGGCCCAACTCTGTCTCCTTTTGCATAACACAAATCTTAATAGTGAATTCTTGTTAACACTGATACAACTGAAATTTTGGCATTTGAGATAAAATGATGGTATAAACACTTTTGAAAAGATATATGTTGTTGTAGACTTGTAGTGATACAAGCACTTCATAAATCCCAACAAAAATTATACTTATTGCCAAAAATTCCAGAACCATATATGTTGTAGCATAAGACATACCTCTTTACGAACTTTAAGTTGTTCATGAAGAAGTGATTGCCCGTTAAGATATAAGACATCAAAAGCAAATATGCACACATCAACTTTGATTTCACTCACTACCACATTTTTCCGTGCTCTTGTACTAAGGATCTGCATATCAAAAAAACATAACATCAACAATGTCACCTTTAGAAACCCTGGATTCAGACTAGTACAGTAAACATCTTTCATAACATCCAAAAGGAATTAATCAACAGTTTAACAGTGACAAAATATGGAAAGTTTTGCAATGCAAGACTAATGCAAACAATTGAGAAATATGATAATAGTGAAATGTCACTATGTCAGCTAGTAAGATAATGTGTTTTGATTGTTGAAGGATCACCAACTAATACATAGAATTATAGTATTTTGGAGACTAATGAAGTGGTACACAAAATAGAACCCTGGATTCAGACTAGTACAGTAAACATCTTTCATAACATCCAAAAGAAATTAATCAAAGGTTAACGGTGACAAAATATGGAAAGTTTTACAATACAAGACTAATGTAAACATTCAAGAAATATGATAATAGTGAAATGTCACTATGTCAGATAGTAAGATGATGTTTTGACTGTTGAATGATCACCAGATAATACATAGTATTATAGTATTTTGGAGACTAAGCACAATAATTCTAAAGACGTTACCTGAAAGGGTAAAATTTTCTTTTGAACTCGATCATAAGCAACAAGCTCACAATCCAAAACAAATGATTTTACAGAGGACTTCTTGAATCTACAAAAGAAAGCAAATTTTAGCAACTAAACCAACATTGCAGAAGCAGTAGCATGCTACAATTGTTTGCAAGCACCCAAAAGAGTTTAAGGGACTATAATTGTATAATTAATGTGTGGTTATCTCTATTGCAAGCTCCTTGTAAGGATTCATAACATCTAATGCCAATATCTAATTTTCACATATATGCCATGTTGGAGGAAAAGTCAATAAGTGCGGCTGAGGGGGGGCACCGAATTCGATGCAATAAATTTTGTTGAATTTTTGAAATGGGTATATTGCACTTTAGTCATTAAACTTTAGGGTATTTTCAAATATTAGTCCTTAAGCTTCAACTATAAATACCCTAGCTTATTTAGCTTCAAAATCATCCTAAATCGTTTCTTTCTCCACTACTAAATAGTTTAGAGAGCTTTCTTGTGAGTTGTGAGTGTTTTGTAAACACCTGTAAATTTTTTCTCTTTAGTAAAAGATCTACAGCAGTTCGGAAACGTAGCATAATTTGCTGAACTCTGTTAACAATTGCGGGTATTATTTTTCTGCTTTTATTTTGCATTCTCACTAATCTGATTATAAGGAAATTTCTCGTTTATTTCCCAACAACTGGTAATCAGAGCTTTTGGTTGTGAATTTTGTCAATTTTTTTGTGATGTTACTATTCATTACTATTCACGTTAATAGTAAATTTCGTGAATAGTAAATTTTTTGTCGGCGATACGAATTTGTCGACGGAGGTGTTCTAATACACGGTGGTTCGCAAGAATTGTCAGAAACGATCCAAACAAAGCCAGATTCGAGTGGGAGAGATGGCTGCAGACGAATGGAAGGTGAAAATTGAAAGTTCGATGGTGCAAACTTTGACTTTTGGAAGATGCAGATTGAAGATTTTTTGTACCAGAAAAATCTATATCAACGTCTCTCAAGAAAAACAACCAGAGGGCATGAAGAATGTAAATTGAGCTCTTCTCGACAGACAAGTCCTCGGAGTTATCCGACTGACGCTGTCTCGAAATGTTGCTTTTAACATAGAAAAGGAAAAGACCACGACGGGTCTTATGGCGGCTCTCTCAAGTATGTATGAGAAGCCATCAGCTTCAAACAAAGTTCACTTGATGAGGCGATTATTCAATTTGCGGATGGCGGAAGGGCATCAGTGGCTCAACACCTAAATGAACTCAACACAATCACAACCCAGTTGAGTTCCGTGGAAATTGAATTCGATGATGAAGTTCGAGCTTTAATTCTCTTATCATCTCTACCAGACAGTTAGAATGCTACTATTACAGCAGTTAGCAGCTCGTCGGGAAACAATAAATTGAAATTCGACGATGTTCAGGATTTGGTATTGAGCGAAGAAATTCGACGGAGAGAATCGAGTGAAGCATCAACCTTCTCAGTCTTGCACACGGAATCTAAAAGGAGAACTTCAGAAAGAAATTCAAATCGTGGCAGATCTAAATCTAGAACGGGAAAAAAAGATTATAACTGTTATAATTGTGGCAAAAATGTTCACTTTAAAAGAGATTGCCGAGCACCAAAGAAAGATACCGGCGCACAGGAATCTACCAACATAACAGAGGAGACAGGTGATGCCATGATTCTAAGAGTCAACAGTCCGATTGAATCATGAATATTGGATTCAGGGACATCTTTCTACTCCACCCAATGCCAAGAAATCATGGAGAACTATGTCAATGGTGACTTTGGAAAGGTTCATCTAGCTGATGATGAAACCTTGAAAATCGTCGGAAAATAAAACATCTGATTAAAGTTGTCAAACCAGACCACCTGGAAGCTGAAAGGAGAGACATATTCCTGGCCTCAAAAGAAATTTGATTTCTGTAGTACAGCTTGATGGAGAAGGATATAGTACAAACTTTTCAGGTTGTGAATGGACGATCACCAAAGGAGCACTCGTCATTGCTCGTAGCAAGAAGACTGATACTCTCTATGTAACCTTAAATTTAAAGAATATCATTGCAGTAGCAGATGCTGATGGAAAATCAAACCTATAGCACCAAAGGCTTGGCCACATGAGAGAGAATGGGATGAAGACATTTTTGTCAAAAGGTAAGTTGTCGGATCTAAAGAGTGTAGATGTCGGACTATGTGAGGATTACATCTTTGGCAAACAAAAAAAAGTTAGTTTTGCAAACAAAAGAAAGTTAGTTTTGCAAAGATTAATAACACTCAAAGCAGAAAAGTTAGAGTTGGTTCATACTGATATATAGGGACTATCTCCAATTCCATCTCTTGCAGACTCGTTATATTATGTCACCTTCATCGATGATTCAACAAGGAAGGTGTGGATTTATTTTCTAAAGAAAAAATCAGAAGTATTTGATACCTTCAGAAAATGGAAGGTCATGGTGGAAAATGAGACTGGTTTGAACGTCAAGCGATTGAGGTCTGACAATGGAGGAGAGTACAGAAACAATAGATTCAAAGATTTATGCACAAACAATGGAATCAAGATGGAAAAAACAGTTCCCATGACACCGCAGCAGAATGACGTAGCAGAGCGCATAAACAGAACTCTGAATGAACGTGCCAAAAACATGAGGATACATGTCAGATTGCCCAAATTTCTATGGGCTGAAACTATCAACACTACAACTTACCTGATCAACCGTGGGTCCTCAGTTCCTTTGGATGGCAGAATACCGGAAGAAGTTTGGAGCAAGAAAGAAATAAACCTTTCGCTTAAGAGTGTTTGGTTGTATTTCTTATGTACACATAGATTCTGCTGAAAGAAGTAAACTTAATGCAAAGTCCAACAAATGTGTCATTGTTGTTTATGGTGGTGATGAGTTCGGTTATCGGTTTTGGGATTATGAAAATTGGAAGATCATCTGAAGCAGAGATGTCATTTTCAATGAGAATGTGATGTACAAAGACATGTCAACCATAGAATCGAGTAGCTCTAATACCGAAGCTGAAACAAAAGAATTTGCTGAGTTCGAAGAGATTTCTGAAAATGATGTTCAAATCAGCCCAGAAGCAATTCAAGAAGAACCAGGCACACCAGAATTGAGACGTTCCTCCAGAATTCTTAAACCAACCCAGCGTTATTCGCCTTCTTTGCACTACTTGTTGCTGACAGACAATGGTGAACCAGAATGCTATGATGAAGCAAAGTGCTATGATGAAGCAATGCAAGTGGAGGATTCAGTTAAGTGGGAGTATTCCATGAAAGATGAGATGGACACACTTATGTCAAATCAGCCGTAGGAATTAGCTGAATTACCACCAGGCAAGAAAACGCTCCATAACAAGTGGATTTACAGGATTAAAGAAGAGCACGATGGAAGTAAACGCTACAAAGCAAGATTGGTTGTCAAAAGTTTTCAACAAAAAGAAGATATTGACTACAATGAAATTTTCTCCAGTCGTAAAACTGTCTACAATCATACTGGTGTTGAAAATTGTAGTTGCAGAGAATTTACATCTTGAGCAATCAGATGTGAAGACAGTTTTCCTTCATGGTGATTTGGAGGAAAAACTCTTATATGAGGCAGTCAAAAGGCTTCATAGAGGTAGACAAGAAAAACCTTGTATGCAGGTTGAAAAAGAGCTTGTATGGTTTAAAACAAGCTCTTAGACAGTAGTACAAGAAGTTCGATAGCTTCATGAGTAGCAGTGATTTTATCAGATGCCAAGCAGATCATTGTTGCTACATCAAGAAGTTTGACAACAGCTTCATTATTTTATTATTGTACTTTGATGACATGCTCGTTACAGGCTCAGACATGCAAAAGATCATAAACTTGAAGCAAAAATTGTCGAAGCAGTTTGCATTGAAAGATCTGGGCGCTGCAAAGCAGATTCTTGGGATAAGGATCAAGAGAGACACAAAGTCGGGGACTTCGATGTTATCATAGGTTGAGTACATCAACAAAGTACTCACCAGGTTCAACATGCAAGATGTTAAACCAATAAGTACACCTTTAGATATTCATTTTAGACTCTACAAAGAACAGTCACCAAAGACGGAGGCAGAACGTGCACACATGGTGAAGGTGTCGTATGCCTCAGCAATTGGAAGTCTGATGTATGTCATAATTTGTACTAGACTAGATATTGCTCATGCAGTGGGAACTGTTAGTAAGTACATGAATAATTCGGGCAAGGTACACTGGGAAGCAGTCAAATGGATCATCAGATATCTGTGGGATATTACAAACAAGTCACTTTGTTTCAAAGATAGAGGTACGATACTGACATACTATGTAGATGTTGACTTAGCCGAAAATGTTAACATCAGAAAAAACACTACAGGGTATGTCTATACTTTAGGAGGAACCGTAGTGAGTTGGGTTTCTCAACTACAGAAGATAGTTGCTCTTTTCACAACTGAAGCAGAATATATCGCTGTTACAGAAGCTAGCAAGGAGATCGTCTAGCTCCAAAGTTTCTTAGAAGAGTTAGACAAGAAACAAGAAAACAATGTCTTGTATTGCGACAGTCAAAGTGTTATCCATCTAGCGAAGAATCCGTCTTTTCATTCCAGAACGAAACACATACAATTGTGGGATTATTTTATTTGGTCTCTTCTGAAATATAGGATTTTGAAACTTAAAAAGATTAGTGGAGCTCAAAATCCGACAGACATGTTAACAAAGACGGTGACCACGGACAAACTGAAGTTGTGTTCAGCTTCAGTTGGCATGCTAGAATAACAAGACTAGAAATGCTGCTACATTGATCGAGGTGTGAAGACAGATTAAAATCAATCTTCAAGTGGGAGATTGTTGGAGAAAAAGTCAATAAGTTCAACTGAGGGTGGCACCGAATTCGGTACAATAAATTTTGTTGAATTTTTGAAATAGGTATATTGCACTTTAATCATTATATTTTAGGAAATTTTCAAAGATTAGTCCTTAAGCTTCAACTATACTACTCTAGCTCATTTAGCTTCAAAATCATCTCAAATCATTTCTTTCTTCACTACTAAAGAGTTTAGAGAGCTTTCTTGTGAGTTGTGAGTATTTTGTAAACACCTGTAAATTTTCTCTCTTTAGTAAAAGATCTGCAACAGTTCGAAGACGTAAACATAATTGGCTGAACTCCGTTATCAATTTCGGGTATTATTTTTCCGCTTTTATTTCGCATTCTTACTAATCTGATTATAGGAAAATTTCTCGTTTATTTCCCAACAAGCCAATGCTAGCCGTAAAGTTTTAATTAGGTATTCTCTAGATAATTCCAGCAAATCATATTTTTTTACAAAAGAAAAGTAAAGGAACTTGCATTAGTAGATACCATCTTAATAATAGCAGGAAAAATATCTATAACTTACTACCATTACTACAATTTTTGAATATCAATATATTCTATACAGTCAAACCACAATATAATATAAAGCAACAAATTTAAATGGTAGGCATTATAATATTAGGTGGCGATAGTTGGGTTTTGACTAATTAGAAACTTTTTAACATGCATTGCAAGGAACCTCTAGAAGATAAGTGCCAGTATGCTTTCTTTGGAGCAGGGGAGGCAAAGAAACCTTTAATCAACAAACACAAGAAATAAATAGCACAAATCAACAGAACAAGTCACCATAATAATAATAATAGAGGTCTACCTAGAAATTGCAGAAACAACATCAGGAAACTTTCCAGTGTTCCGCTCAGCATTTCGACTATATATCTCAACTGAACCATTCTCCATATAGTGAATCTACAAAAGGCACGAAGAATTTTTTTCTCCACATGATGTATGGGGGCACTAACAAAAACAAAAGAAACAAGTAGCACTTTAAATTCTTACCTGTGCACGTTCCCCATCATATTTATATTCACATACAAAGTCAATATCCTGGAATTTATTTACAATCTCAGCAACACCTTTGGTAGGTTTTGCTAGCATAGGTCCAACAGGGACACCCGGTGTAAAGCTACAAGTCCTTGGAAGATCCCATACACCGCCAGTCAAAAGTGCAGGGACTATTTTATCATACACCGGAAGGATAGAAAAAACTTGTTTGGCAATCTTAGCAGCCTGCATGAGAGCCATCAAAGATAAATAGCAGTGCATTAGTTAAGTTCAACATGGAAGAGCTAAAGGTGAATCCTCAACGCACAGCTATACCAAAAAAATAAAAGCTAGCAAACAACAAACTAAGGTAAAAAAGTAAAACTCCAAACCAACAAAAACTTAATTTTCAAAATTCCAATCCAACCATGTGCAAGGCCTTAATAGATTCCGACTTGTTACACCAGCCAATATTTGTTGCCCCTTCACCAATCACCACTATCAGTCTACAAAGACCTTAATCAGCTGTCATCTCTAACCTAACTCCCAAGAATACTGATGAAATATCAGAACACGTCAAGCCAAGTTTTCCTCACCTTTAAATTTGATGACATGTCATTTGATGTACATCTAAGCCTCGTGCTTTCAGTAATTTTTTGGAATTTCATAATGCAATTCATACAAATGAACTACAAAACGCATGATGCATTGAGCTGATAGACTACAATGATGATTCAAAAAAAGTAGTGTTAAATTTCAGCATCTACAAAATTTTGTTACCTCCTCTAATGGAGATTGAATGTTTGGAGGCGGTCTAGAATGTATTTCATTATATACAGCAGCCTGTCCTAATGCAGCTAACAGAGTCTGCTCTGAAAATCCAATCCGCAATTTTGTCTGCAAGATGAACGAGAGAAATCTTAGAATCAAGGAACAAACTATAAACTAGTACTAAATTTATTTCCTAGTTACAACCTGAAGCAGACGAATCAAGAATAGAGGTTCACAGTCAGTTGCGGCAACAAGAAGTGCCTTGATACGATTCTTTTTCTTTTCCTGACTATCCTTTCCAGATTCCTGTATAAGCAGACCAAAAAAGGGGGAATTCCATAACATTAAATGAACAAATATACACCAACAAGAACCAATAATTAATGCATTCTCTTCCCTACATATTGGGCAAGGCTTTTCTGCAGAAGGCCACAAGAATTATAAGTGCATTAGTAATAGTAAGTTAGTAACATTGGAAATAGTTCACCTACTTATGCATGTACTGTGTATACCAAGTGAACAATATATGACAGCAAAACGGTGTAAAATTTCCATTGTTACGTCAAACTGGATTTCCACGTTCAAAGAATATGGGCACATGCAGAGCATTCATCTAATGCAAGGCAACTAAACAGCCATTTCAACCATGGATGCCAAGATCAATGACTAAGTTATAGTTGATTGGAACCAAATGCATCGCTCTATAGTAAAGTAATTCCATTTGGGAAAGAACATGGTCAACCTTTGCAATTAGCCTAAAGGAATCAAACACTTTAACAACAGTTAATGGATCAGGCTTGCGCATCATTGATTGAGATGAACGACTAGCTTGTGCAACAAGGCCCAGGTCTCCTTTTTGCTGTCAAAAGGTATATCAACATAATTAAATGGCAAACTCATATGTTAGCAAGCTTTAATCAAGCCCCAAATAAAGAGGAAAGTAAAATTATACCTTGTACGCACTCTTGATCTGTGGTTCAGTTCTCCCACAGGCCTCAGCAAGGGCCTTGATAATGGAGGCATCTCCGATGCCCAGCTCTAACCCCTCATGCGCCGGAGCAATCTTATTTGCTGCCAAGTAAACCGTCGCCACCAAATCATCCGGTGTGAAATCAATAACAGTCCTCAACATATTACAAACAATATCGGTTATGACAATCCGACCCTTCTCATTCGATATCAAATCAAACGCCATGCTTAGAAACAAAAACGGCACTCTCTCTCCTTTCTCCCAATACGCCACCATTGTTGGATCAAAATCCGCCGGCTTCTTCTTCAATAACCCAATTTTCCCCTTCAACTCCGCATTTCTCTCGGAGACACTGCCAGCCGCCTTCGTCTTCTTCGAATCCGGGAGTTTTTCTGTCTCAACTAAATTGGGTTTGAGGGAATCACTAATGGGTTTTTCAATTCCATCACTGGGGATTTCTGGTTCGGGTTTGACTTCAGTTGAGTCATCGATGGTTTTGGTAGGATTAGGGTTTGGTGTGGGCGACGGAGACTTGCGTTTCTTGGCGGGCGAAGAAGCAGAGGAAGGGCTCTTCTTGCCCGCCAAACGGCGAGCTCCGGACATGAGAGCATCGAAGGCGGAGGGGCGAGAAGACATGTTGAAGTAGGGGTTTAAGGAGGAAAGAGAAAGGGATTTGGGGCGAAAGAAAGGTGACTTAGTAGGGAATGAAAGGGGGAAGATGGGAGGAATGAGAAGGCTGAAGGGACGAGAAAGACAAGTAGAGCGAAGGAGATGAGATGGACGAAGCGTTAGCATTCAGTTCCAAGGAATTGAGAAAGGAAAAACAGAATCAAGATGAGCGCAGCGAAAGCTTGAGAGATGAGTAGAGAAAATGGCGGGAAGTGAACTAAATCTTTTAGATGGATTTGGAAATCCCTCTTCTTCTTTTTTATAATAAAAAAATTTATTATGCAAAATCAACATGTACAACATCAAGATACAAAAGAATTAAAGATTAGAATGCAGTGATCAACCAACAAAGAAACAAAGATCACACTATATTTCAATTCAGAGAAAGAGTAATATTAATAATATCATTGCTATTGAATTTTCTATTGCTTAAATGTAGTCCAATTATATCTATGATGTCATGGAATAATTCTTTAGCATTCTTGGATATACCTTAAAACATTCGCTTGTTTCTTTCATCCCACATTAAATAAATAGTGGCATTAAAAGACAACTTCAAAATAAGAGTGAGTATTAATTTGTCTTTTCAAGCAGTGGAAGTCTTTGCACAAAAAGCTTCCAACGAACAAGGGTAGAAGTGAAGTCCTGAGAGTGAAAAAGCATTTTTCAAGATTGATGTAATCATAGGACACAGCAGAAAAATATGGTCCCTTGTTTCCAAAGGATCATCACAGAAAATACATTTACAATCAGTGATTAGTTTCATACGGTTTAATCTTTCTCTTGTAGTAAAGGAGTTACTGTTGAACTCCCTTCCCAAAAATAGTTGGATTTTGAAACGTCCGAAGACTAAATTCACAAACAGAATAAAGTTCTCAAAAGAGCCTTTCAGAACAAAATCCCTCCCTTTTGCACTCTTTTGGGCTTTCTTTTCTCTTATATTTGTTTGTTGGGCTGAAGTGAAAAAATTAGGCAAAAACGTGACCGTTATACTTTTTAAAATAAAACAATCAATGTAATCTTTGAATTATTTTTATATAATATTATTTTAAAATTTAGAAAGAAAAAAATTAATGTGGTCCTTTGATCAATTATTGATATCGTGATCGTTACTGTACTAACATGCACTTCATGGTATTAACGTGACGGTCTACTATACTGACATGATAATCCACAATTGTTGGTGATGTGACATATGAACTGAATTGATTTTTTATTGAGTTCGAAAATCATATTATTTATTTTTTAAGTTGAGGTATTTATTTGATTTTAAAAAATATTTTAAATTCAAAATTTAAAATATATAAAAATTAAAAATAAATTAATAAAAAATAATATATATATATATATATATTTTAACCATAACGATTACAAATATTATTGTTAAATGATTTACTGAATTTAGAGGCGTATTTTAATTTTATATTTTATTTTATTAGTACAATTATATTGTTATATTCGTACATATTAATTCTAATGTGAGTTTTAATTTACTTTTATTTTGTAGAGAAAATTTTGATATTCCTTGAAAAAAATGGGGGTATAATATTATTTTTAAATTTAGAAAAAAAATTAATGTGGTCCTTTGATCAATTATTTATATCGCGACTGTTACTGTACTAACATGACACTTCATGGTATTAACGTGACGGTTTACTATACTGACATGATAATCCACAATTGTTGGTGACGTGACATATGAACTAAATTGATTTTTTATTGAGTTCGAAAATCATATTATTTATTTTTTAAGTTGAGGTATTTATTTGATTTTAAAAAATATTTTAAATTCAAAATTCAAAATATATAAATATAAAAAATAAAAAATAAATTAATTAAAAATAATATATATATATATATATATATATATATATTAACCATAGTGATTACAAATATTATTGTTAAGTGATTTACTGAATTTATATGCTATTTTAATTTTATATTTTATTTTATTAGTACAATTATATTGTTATATCGTACATATTAATTCTAATGTGAGTTTTAATTTACTTTTATTTTGTAGAGAAAATTTTGATATTCCTTGAAAAAAATAAAAAAAAATGGGGGTGAGAAAAAAAAAACCTAAAACACATTAAGTCTATATCCACCTTGATTTTATGGAGTTGTATTAAACAGAAATGGCCAGATATGTCGATTTTCCTATTTAAAAAAAGTACTTTAGACCATTCTTATATTCACTCAAATGTTCCTCTTATTTGTATAATTATGTATAATTATGTTTTTAAATTTAAGTGTATTATCTTGAAACTTTCGCTATTTCAGAATTCGTGTTAAGGTAGAAATTTGTTAGAGTTTGACTCGAATTCAAATGAGACACGTATTAAATAATATATAAATATGGGAAATAAAAAACCTAGCTTGATTAAAATTATAATTTTTATGTTTATTTTATTTAAAAAAAAAACTATTTTGAGTAAATTTCCGATTTATAAGTTTCTTTGTAATAAAAAATATATCCCTATAAATAGATATAAGGATTAGAGTTAGATATTAGATTATCCATAAAGACTCATCTCATATTATTATGTTTCTTTTTAAGGATTTTTCATTTAAAATTTTAATATTTATTTTATTAAACGATCATTATACATCGAGCTATCTTCTAAAAACTTTTGCAGGCTGCTAAACAAATAATAGTTTTAAGTTTTATACCCACAACGAGTTATACAATATAAATAAATATGAATATTCGTGATAGAAATGGAGCGTGAAAAAACATTCCTACAATATCCTATCCAATTGACATCTCTATATGCCATGTACATCACAGATCGACGCTGAAATGGATTCTATTTTTTAGAAGCCCGTGAGTTTAGAACAAATGGGAGGCGAGATGAGCGTATGGTAAAGAGAAAATGAGGCCCATTCTCATAACCTAGCCCACTTTCATTATTATTTCTAGGGGTGATCAATCGGTTGATTCCATTAATCGACCTAACCAAATTATCTAAAATTTATTAATCGAATTTATTTTAACTGTTAGCTAAATCAAATTTTTCAGAAAGTTTTAATTGAATCGAATAAAGTTCAGTTAATTCGGTCGGTCAATTCTATTAAAGCCGAAGTTTAAACACTCCTAAGGTTAAATAATATATAATATATTAAATATTTAATAGTTTCGGTTAATTAACTTATTTCAAACTGAATTAGACGATAATCGAAGTTTGAAACAATCATTAACCGTTAACCAACCGGACCTAATATTAATCAATCAGTTAATAAAAAAACTTTAATTCGAACAATTAATTTAGTTACAATCAAAATTTGAGCACCCTTACTACCTCTCTACATGTCTACAAGGAAATGGATGTTTACGTGCATATAGACGTGTGACATGGGGTATAATATTATTTAGGGTAAAGTATATAAATAGTCCCTAAACATTTAAGACACTTGAGTTTTTGTCACTTAACTTTTGAAACTTAACTTTTGAAACTTGTAATACAATCATCGAATTTTTAGTTCATTTCAGTAAGGTTCTTGTTGTTACCTCCCATTAGGGTTAACTGATGTGGCATTTAACTACCGTTAACCCCCTTTTTTATTCTCCTTCTCATCCTTTTTTTAACCAACCACAGATGGAGAAGGGACGACGGGGAGAAGGGACAACGGCAAGGAGGCATAACAGACTAGGTTTTGGTCGGAATGGTGATGGTGGTGTGGCGGACGACCCAATCGGCCAAAAAGCGATGGAAACTGAAAAGAGGCGTTAGGGTTTTCCAACGAGATTTGGGGCACATTCCACGACGAACAAATATGAGTTTCGACGAGTGGTTAGCGGGGTTTTGGTCGAAATAGGGGGACGCTCCTATTGGTATCAGCGGTGACGGTCACCGAAGATTGACGACTGATATCGGGGATGGGTGTTCGAACGGTTTTCTCATAATTTGGGACAAACAGTGTACGGTGAATATGAATTAAGGGTCCGGATGTGGTCGATAGAAGATGCCTGTGATGGCGGTGTGAGCCACTGTTGACTAGAGGTGGGGTGAGAGGAAGAGGAGGAGGAGAAGAAGAAGAAGAAGAAGAAAAAATGGGTTAACATAAGTTAAGTGTCATGTCAGCTAAAACTAACGAGAGGTAATAGTAGGGCCATTAGTAAAAATGAACTAAAAGTTCAATGATTGTATTACAAATTTCAAAAGTTGGGTGACTAAAATGCAAGTACCCTAAAAATTCATGTACTATTTATATGTTACCCTATTATTTATTTGTTATTTTTGATTAGGTGACTGTGTAGTTAGAATTGTGAGCATGTGATGGTTAGCGCAAGTGGAGTAGTTTTATTTACGACCTCACCAACCAGATAAGAGAATTATAAATTCTGAATCAAGTATTACACTTGATTCTTTTTTATTATTACTTGGCATCCGGTCGACAACAAAATATATAGAAGAAGAAGAATAAATTTTAATAAATGATTATTTAAAATTAATCATTTATTAAAATTTAATTATAATTATAATTATAATTAAATTGTAATTTTTAGGGTAAACATATTTAGTACCTAAACTATCACTTTTGACAAATTTAAATATAAATTTTAATAAATGATTAATTTTAAATAAATCTTTATATTTTTTAATATTTACATAAGAAAGATAAATTTATTTATAACATGTTTTGATATATTACTTCCGTAATATATTACGATATACTACATACGTTGTATACTTTTCCATATATATAATTCATGGGATTGTCTCAGGAAAGGCGGGTTAATATACGGTTAATATACGGCGTTACCGGATACATTAAAAGATATTTAATAAATTCAGTTTAGCGCTACCGAAAATGTTGACTAATAATAATGTAGTAGGTCTAAATCATGAAGAAATATTAAAAAATTGTGCAACCGGCAAACTTAACTTGTCGGTTCGTGCCGATCCAAATTAAAAATGTGTCGATCCAAAACGATATAACAGGTAAAACTATGACAAAACCGGTATTGAAATGATAAAACCGGTAAAGCGCTACCGGATACATTTAAAGTGTCGGTACTTTAATATAAGGATCGACACTTTGTGAATTTAAAAGAGAAGCAGTTTTAAATCCTATAAAGTGTCGATACTTTTAAAAAATGTATCGATCCAAAACGATATACCAGGTAAAAAATATGATAAAACCGGTATCAAAATGATAAAACCGGTAAAACGTTACCGGATATATTGAAAGTGTCGATACTTTAT